ATCGGCTAGAATGACAGCAGCAGCAGCAGCAGCAGCAGCAGTTGCTGCTGCTGCTGCTGCTGCTGCTGCTGCTGCTTCTCTCCTGTGTTAGCTGCTATTGTAATTGCTGCATATCTTTTACCCGTTTCTGCTGCTGCTGCTGCAACAGCTCTTATTCTAATTCCTGCTGCTCTTCCTGCTGCTGCTGCTGCTGCTGCTGCTGCTGTTGCTGCTGCTGCTGCTGCTGCTGCTGCTGCTGCAGGGTTAGCGTTGCAGACATTGTGTTGCGTGTCTTTGTCTCGGGAGATGTGTGGGGCGTTGCTGCCGGATGTCTTGCTGCTGCTGAGCTCCTCTCGTCCCTACATAAGAAAGAAAGCAGCTCTCTGCTGCTGCTGCTTCCTTTTATATTTGCTGCGGGAGCAGCAGCAGCAGCAGCAGCAGAAGCAGCAGCGCAAGTTGCAGCAGCAGCGCATGCGTTTGAACTCCCCTTCTGCTGCTGCTGCAACCACAGCAGCACCACCACCACAACCACCAGCAGCAGCAGCAGCAGCAGCAGCAGCAGCAGCAGCAGATGATGATGATGATGATGAGAGCGAGAACTCTGTGCTNCAGCAGCAGCAGCAGCAGCAGCAGCAGCAGCAGATGATGATGATGATGATGAGAGCGAGAACTCTGTGCTGCTGCATGCGGTGCAGCGGCTGCAGCAGCAGCTGATGCAGGAGCAAGACATCGGTGTTCTTTGCTGCTTAGTGACGGCGTTGCTGCAGGCAGCAGCAGCAGCAGCAGCACCGTTTCTGTGTCTGGTTCCTCCTTTATTTCATTTGTTATGTAGCAGCAGCAGCAACTGGTTGACTATAAAGCTGCTGCAGCTGCTGCTGCTGCTAGCAGCAGCAGAACCACGGCTACCCCCTAAACTTACTAAACCTCTTGTCTTGCTGCTGCAGCAGACAAAGGCACAGAGTGTACGTATTGAGGCTCTTCGTTTGGTGTTTCTTACTGCACCAATAGATGCTGCTGCTGCTGCTGCTGCTGCTGCTGCTGCAGCACAAACAGATGTCGCTGCAGCAGAACATGCAGCAGCTGCAGCAATGACCCAAGACACAGCAGCAACAGCAGCAGCAGCAGGAGACGCAGCAACAGCAACCTCTCCCAGCAACAGCAGCAACAGCAGCAGCAGCAGCAGCAGCAGCANCAGCAGCAGCAGCAGCAGCAGCAGCAATGCAACACCAGAGATGCAGCTGCTGCAGCTCGCATGCAAGCAGCTGCAGTTTCTTCTCTCCTCCCCCGACAGCAACATTTGCTTCATTTCTATCGATCTGCTGCAGCAGACGTTTATAAAAAGGAGACAGTTGGTGCAGCCGCTGCTGCTGCTGCTGCCTGGGCTGCAGCAGCAAATGCTACAGGTATTCAACACCCACCTCCTCCTGCTGCTGCTCCTGCTGCTGATGCTGCTGCTGATGCTGCTGCTGCTGCTGCTTCTGCTGCCGCTGCTCCTGCTGCTGCTGCTGCTGCTGCTTGTGTTGCTCATGTGGCTCTAGCAGCAGCAGCAGTAGCAGCAGCAACCGCAACACCAGCAGCAGCAGCAGCAGCAGAACTACCACCAGCACCAGCACCAGATCCACCACCAGCACCAGCACCACCACCAGCACCAGCACCAGCAGCAGCAGCCACAGCAGCAGCAGCAGCAGCAGCAGCAGCAGCAGCAGCAGCAAAGGTGTGTGTGTCTGCAGTGTGCAAGAAGCAGCGACGCAATGCTGCGGCGGGCTGGGGTTTCTTTGGTTGCTGCTGCTGCTTCTCCTGCTGCCTTTCCTGTTGCATGCGAACGGCTGCTTGCTGCTGCTTTTGAAGCAGCTAACTGCAGCAGCAGCAGCAGCAGCAGCAGCAGCAGCAAGGCTGCTGCTGCTGCTGCTGTTTGCCCCGCAGACTTCATTCTGCCGATTGTTAGAATGGCTGCTGAGTAAGTTCTTTTTTTTTCTTTTTTTTTTCTTTTTTTCTTTTTTTTTCTGTTTTTTGTTTTTTTTGTTTTTTTTTATTGTTTTGTCTTTTCTTTTTTGTTTTTTTGTCTTTTTTGTTTTTTTGTTTTTTTGTTGTTTTGTTGTTTTGCCTTTTCTTGTTTTGTTTTATTTTATTTATTTTTATTTTATTTATGTTACTTATTTTACTTTATATATTTTAATTTATTTTTTTTTATTTTATTTCATTTGTTTTATTTGTTTTATTTATTTTATTTATTTTATTTTATTATTTTTTTATTTTTATTTGTTTTATTTATTTTATCTATTTTATTTTTTTAATTATTTTATTTATTTTTGTTTTTTTTGTTTTGTTGCTTTCGTTTCATCTACAAGTCGGTGGACTGCTCTGCTGCTGCTGCTGCTGCTGCTGCTGCTGTTTCTGTTGCTGCTACCGCTGCTGCTGTTTCTGTTGCTGCTGCTGCTGCTGCTGCTACTTTTTCTGTTGCTGCTGCCGTTCCTGCACCTGCTGCTGCTGCTATTGCTGCACTTTCTATTGTTGCTGCTGCATATGCTACATCTCTATCTGCTGCTGTTGCTGCTGCTGCTGCATCTACTGCAACTGCTTCTGCTGCTGCTGCTGCTGTTGCTGCTGCTGCTGCTGCTGAT